ACTTCAAACACACCCTTAGAGCCCTATTTTTTTCTATTAAATTTGGAGTTTTAATATTAACTGTTAGATTAACTTTAAAGTAAAATTTAAAATAATCTCAACCGCGAATAACAAATGTCATTTTATTAATTTAAAATAATCTCAACCGCGAATAACAAAAGTCATTTTATTAATTTAAAATAATCTCAACCGCGAATAACAAAAGTCATTTTATTTATCTTTTGAGATTTAAATTGTAAACAACTTTATTATATATTTATTTATATATATTTATATTTATACATACATACATATATATATATATACATATATATACTTATATGTATTTATATATATAAATATAAATATAAATAAATAAATAAATATATATATATATATATATATATATACACACACACATACACGTTAAATCTCTTATCTAAATTTTGAATTATTTTTAATGCACCTTTATTTATGCGTTTTTTTTTTTTTTGGAAAGTGATTTTGTTTTCAAATTATAATTAATGCACCTTGATTCGTGCGTTTTTTTTGGAAAGTACTTCTATTTTTAAATTAATTTAATATCCGAATAGTGTAATAGTATAACAATAACAATGTAATAATAATAGTGTAATAAGTTATTTACACAATATATTGTACTATTACATTTTTTTCAAACATATAATTTCATTCAAAATAATTCATCTCCGTTTTGAATTTGTTATCACATGCACAAAACTACTGAACACTATTTTTGTTACACTGTTATTGTTACACTATTACAATATTTGGATATTAAATTAATTTGAAAATAAAATCACTTAAAAAAAAAACGTAAATGAAATATAATTAAAAAATAAAATCACTTTCAAAAAAATAAATACGCATAAATCAAGGTGAATTAAAAATAATTCTAAATTTAGATAAGAGATTATATATATATTAACAAACACACATGAATTAAGGTGCATTAAAGGTAAGAGATTTTTAATTAAATGACCCTAAAATGGGCATTTATGTCTTTGTATCTCAGCTGTGTACCTTTTTCCAGATTTTCTGTGTATGATACTTGTTTGATCAGTATTCACGACAAAAAGTGCAAAATAAATAAAAAAATTCATATTGCTCTAGTTATTCTGATCAATACATAATTATTTTTGTAGACTTGTTAAACTAAAAATGTTTATGTAAATGATGAATAAATTAATTATGACCTTCCAAAGTTCTCTAGAATTTGATTTCAAGGAGACAAAAAAAANAAACTAAAAATGTTTATGTAAACGATGAATAAATTAATTATGAACTTCCAGAGTTCTCTAGAATTTGATTTCAAGGAGACAAAAAAAAAATACAATGAATCCTTTTTGGGGATTTTACCCAATGTGAAAATTGAACCGCTTGATATGTTTCGCAAATTGCCATCCCTAGTCTTCGTGCTCCTAACTTGTTTCGCATCTAACAAGCTCTTTCGTTTTTCTAGTTAGTGAAAAAATATTGGGTGTAACGGTGATATTACGTTATCATTATTATATGGTGTCACCATCTAATAAAAATATAACAAATAAGCAGGTGGAACCCATATATTCTAAGGTTGATCTTTGAGGGTGCACATTGATACAAATTTTTATCTTTGATGGTATAAATTGAGATTTTTGATCTTTGAGAGTGCAAATTGAGATTCGAATAATCTTTCGGGGTGTAAAATGAGATTAACCCTATATTTTAATAGCTGTCCGGTCATATCATTTCAAATAGAATTCATTATCTATTTATAAATTAATTATTAAATGATGATATCACATGTCATAATGACGTGACGTTACCGTTACTTAGAATTAGGGTCATATCTTCCCACATCACCCGCTGGGTGAGGATGCAGTCTAACATGATGTTTAGATGAAGTGAGGATGACGGTTGCTGCGAGCTTCCCTTTCACTCCTTTGGACTTGGTTAATGATGTAGACGTTCGAAAGGCTAACATGGAAGGCTTGCTTGAGCTCGGGTGGAAGTTAAACTATGGCCCATACATAAATTTTGTTCATGGATAAACATTTGAAGAAAAGTGTAAATATGCATAATGTGAGGAAAACAAACAAACTAATCTGCTTGAGTTAGGCCCTTGAGTTGACTCGGCTAAAGACCGTTTGAAATTGATTTGTTAGACAAATATATGAAGTTTAAGTATATCTGCAAGAACAATCTAACTTGGCACAATGATCAAATACCAAAACAGTTAGGCTCGTGATATACTCGGTTAGTGGCTTGCTTAAAGCTTCACTGAAGAGCCTGTTAAAAATGCTATACCTTGCTTTTTTGTTGATGTTCTTTCTTTTCTTCTTCTTCTTCTTCTGTTCCTCAACTTTATTTATTTCCCTTGGTGTAAGGAATATTGAAAGAATGTACAAGTATGTGACACCCACATTTTATTCCTAGATACTATATTAAAAAANCTTTCCTTTCTTCTTCTTCTTCTTCTTCTTCTTCTTCTTCTTCTTCTTCTGTTCCTCAACTTTATTTATTTCCCTTGGTGTAAGGAATATTGAAAGAATGTACAAGTATGTGACACCCACATTTTATTCCTAGATACTATATTAAAAAATAATTCTCGATCTTTAATATTGTTTTGACTTATTTGTAGCAACTGATCATATAAATAATAAAAATTTTATGCAAGCCGCTCTCTGATTATTTGTTGGCTTTAGTTACACATTGGTCACTTATCACTAGCAAATATTGGTTTTTTTTTTTCTAATTGTCAGAGGTGTTTAGACTAAATTATACGCATCTCGATTAATCATCTCTCTGATCTGATCAAATACAAGTCTTCTACGCTCATGAGCGGTCCAACATATTTGGGGGCCCTAGACAAAAAATTTAAATTAGGCCCTATTAATATATTTTACAATAATATAAATAATTGTCAAAAATTAAATTATTCAATTTTTTTCTTTTTCTTTTTTGATATTCAAAAATATTAATTGAATTTTTAAATTCAAGTTTTATACATTAAACCTCAATTAGCAAAAGTTGAATACTTGATCAAATATAATTAAGTTAATTTTCTATTAAAGATAATGAGAAAGAGAATGAAAATGAAAATTTAAACTAATTAACAAAATAATTTTTTTTCAGAATAAATGTAATAGTTAAAATTTGTGTAAGTTAAATGGTATTAGAATATGTGAAACATATTTTAATATTGCAGAGAATCGTCGAAATGTTTTAACTAAGAAATTTTAGCAAGACGAGTATGGTTACAATTATTTCAAATTGTGAAATACTTCCACTCACTTTATTCTATAATCATTTTTATATGCATTAAAAAAATAATTAAGTAAAAATATATTCTAAATTTGAACTAACCTCAAATTTAATTTAAAAAAATATAAAATCATAATTTATAACTATTAGTTGATGAACAATCTAACTTGGCACAATGATCAAAAATCAAAACAGTCTGGCTCGTGATCTACTCGGTTAGTGGTGGCTTGCTTAAAGCTTCGCTGAAGAGCCAGTCAAAAATGCTATCCATTGCTTTTTTGTTGATATTATACATTGCTTTTTTGTTGATATTCTTTTTTTCTTTTTTATTATTCATATGTTCTGCAACTTTATTTATTTCTCATAACTTACTTTTAAAACATTATTAAAATTCGAATTCAGACATCTAAATATAAAATTCGTCACTATTATTATTTGAACCACCTTCTACTCAACTATTGGCTATTGAAATGCTNCTTTTTTTCTTTTTTATTATTCATATGCTCTGCAACTTTATTTATTTCTCATAACTTATTCTTAAAAAATTGTTAAAATTCGAATTCAAGACATCTAAATATAAAGTTCGTCACTATTATTATTTGAACCACCTTCTACTCAACTATTGGCTATTGAAATGCTGACTTCTTTGACTAAAAGTCGAAAAGTAAACCAAAATTGGAAGCAGCCGCGGCTGGTTTCCTTTTCATTGCAGCATCATACTTCTAGTGGTCCTCAGACCACCAACGTGATACCACAGAAGCTTTATACACATGTAGATAGATATATGATGTGTGTACTATTTGGTTCTTTATAAATAACGTGTATCAGAAACAANGGCTGGTTTCCTTTTCATTGCAGCATCATACTTCTAGTGGTCCTCAGACCACCAACGTGATACCACATAAGCTTTATACACATGTAGATAGATATATGATGTGTGTACTATTTGGTTCTTTATAAATAACGTGTATCAGAAACAAGGTCACTCGAACTTCTTATCTCAATTGCTCTATAGAATTCAAGTCATTTAATTGGCCTACTACAATGAGATCAAAATTATACACCTTTGCATATTGAGCAAAATTTAGACACTGTGGAGGCGCCTAATCATTAAGTATATAAATTCAATTGGGTCAAAATNTATAGAATTCAAGTCACTTAATTGGCCTACTACAATGATATCAAAATTATACACCTTTGCATATTGAGCAAATTTTAGACACTGTGGAGGCGCCTAATCATTAAGTATATAAATTCAATTGGGTCAAAATNGATAGAATTCAAGTCATTTAATTGGCCTACTACAATGAGATCAAAATTATACACCTTTGCATATTGAGCAAAATTTAGACACTGTGGAGGCGCCTAATCATTAAGTATATAAATTCAATTGGGTCAAAATTCTCCCCAACACGCTGTCACCCGGATTTTTTAATGACAAATTATTCACCGTGTATGACTCGAGGATAAACTAACAAACAGCAAGTCATGCTTGAACTTTTGCTACAAATTAAGGTAATGAACATTGTATTAAAAGTTAAAACGGATATCACTACAACACAATCTTCTTGTTGTGGATACTTATACACAACATAAATCGCATACTAATAATCATTAAGGAATTATAACCAAATCGTTACTTGGAAATGAAATTGACAAGCATTGATTTCAAATGTAACTTAAAACGGAATTTAAATGACTTTAATTTCGGGTCAAACCTGTGCTTAAACCTTTGTAATGCACTTGGTTTGAACCAAAACTCAATCAGCAATAGCCCAAGTCATATCATTCTCAAAAATCCAGTGGCACACCTCAATCTTCCCAGGACCCGAACCCAATGCCACGAAGGCTCCATGACCCGGGCTCCAAGTTGAGGTGTCAACGTGACATATGGCAACACCATGGTTGATCTTGTCCATAGTTTTCGGATCCAAAAGATCCGCTTCGTAGACCCGGACCTTGGGAACCGAGTGGCAGTAATACAGTAGGTAAGGGAACAGGCTCTGGTGACAAGACACCGATTTGGTGACTCTTCCACGGTTGATCTTCTTGACTGATCCCATCATGATGTTTTGCTTTGACCCTTTAGTGTTCTCGGTCGTCCGAACGACGACGTTTCTGCCCAAGACGGAGGTGGCGAAGTCGATCATGTCCTCCGCCGAGACCACGCACCGCTTGGTCTCGCCGGGGCTCGGCGCCCTCTCACACTCGCTCAGCGCGTCAGCGAGTATACGGGCCATGCTCGAGTCATCACTCGCATGGAAAATCTGTTTCAACTCACCAAGCTTCGATGTAGAAAACGGTAATTTCGACGAAATCAGCCGGGGCAAAAACGACCTTTTAGGCATTTTATCATGAATGTCCGGCATAGGCATTACGGTCCCAGTCTTGAGCAACTTCTCCCTGAAAAATTTACCTGGCTCAACCCATCTATTCACCTTTTTGCCACTGTTCTCCATTGCAGACAATTCTGCAGTGCTTCCATTGATATAACTAGCGAAGGTGACACCCCTTTTGGCATAGTCCGTGAAAGTATTATTGACTCCATAGATTTTGAACCCAATGGCTTGATTTGAAGCTTCATCACCATATCCACTGAACTTGTCAGTACCTTCATTGACAGACTGGCCATAATTTGCAAAATTGACCTGGGCTGCATTGGAATTCTTGGCGTAAGATTGAAAAGAATCATCACCCACATTGGATTGATCTCTGTAACTTGAGAAAATATCAACAGCTGCATTGCCACCATCGCCATAGTTTTTGAAGTTGTTTTCTGGAACATTGCCATTGAAACTGTATCTTGTGAAGGTATCGTTGGCCCCATTCGCAGTTTCACCATAGTTTGTGAAGCTNCTATCAACAGCTGCATTGCCACCATCGCCATAGTTTTTGAAGTTGTTTTCTGGAACATTGCCATTGAAACCGTATCTTGTGAAGGTATCGTTGGCCCCATTCGCAGTTTCACCATAGTTTGTGAAGCTCGAACCAATCACATTCGAGTTGTTACCATAGCTATTGAATTCATTTTCTGCTCCATTCCCATTCTTTCCATAGCTCGTGAAGGCCTGATTTCCGGCATTAGCGTCGTCGCTGTATGAACTGAAGGATTGTGACCGGCCGTTCACGTTATCGGAGTACGATGTGAACTGGAGACCAGGGATGTTGACGAATTGGTTGTATCTTTTGAACTCGCCGGCGCCACCTGTGGCGGTGGTGCCGTACGTGTTGAAGCTCTGGTCCACTACATTGGCATCAGGGGCATAATTGGCAAATTTATCGCCATGGCCGACCGAATCACGGCTGTATCTTCTGAAAGTGTCGACTGGGAGATTATCGCCGTCGGAGTAGTTCTTGAATGAGTCGAACCCACCGAGTCGATCCGCTCCGTAATTGGTGAAGTTCTGGTCCAAGTATTTGGTAAAGTCGACGTTTTTGTCGTGTTTTTCGAGACTCGGCGATAAATCGGGGAAGCAGACAAGTTTAGCCGAGGAACAGAAAGCTGGGAGGTGGGTTGAGAGTGCATTTTGATCGGCGAGTTTGGTATAAGTCGCCCATTCCACAGCGCTTAATGGGGAGGCCTTGTTGAGAAGGAACGAAGGTTTAGGTAAATCATTGGAGATCTGTTTTTTCCAATAACGTATCAGATAAGCTTTTGGGGTGAATGGATTCTCTCCCGCCGGTGACTCGCCGGCTCCGGCCAAAACCACCTACATTGGTACAGCAACACATATATAAGTTCATATTATATATATACATACACACACACACCCACACACCTATAACGCATATTCGTAACACTGCAACAAATTGACTGTTCATGTTTTTTAGGAAAGAAATTGAGTTATTGTTACTTACAGTGAGATGTGGAACTAAGTTCAAGAAGAAGGTGAGAAGAAACAAAGGAGTGAGAGGATTGACTTTCTGCATCATTTTAGTGTGAGAGAGAGTGAGAGTGAGGCAGAGAGAGAGGAGTGAGAATGTTGGTGGGTTTGTAGGGTTGGAGGCATAATTTTATACCGAGAGTTTTGAGAGACGGGCGGTTGTGGCGGGGTTAAGATTTGTGATAAACGGTAGCGGGGAAATATCGTAAATTCATATGTCTTTCATTTAAATTTTGGAGCAATGCCACGAGAATTTAAAAAATAGATTTAAAAATTTTAATTATTAATTTTATTGTGAGTCATAATATTTATTGAGATCTATTAATTGAGATTATCAAATATAATTTTTAAATTCATCTAGTATTACTTTAAATTTTGATAATCAAATGAGAAATTAATGGAAGTATAGATATGGGGGGTTAAGATTTGATCTTATTTATTTTAATGCTTTTTAGTAACTGGATTTTTTCTCTTGTGGAAGAGAGATTTCGTCACAGTCTTGTTGCTTTTCAATTTCACCGACATATTATTGTGACTATAATTGTTAAAATTATTTGTCAAGATTTTAGTTTTTAACACGTCATTATGTAAATAAATTAATTTAATTTTTAGGCACAAATATCACTATTTTTTTGAAACAGATCAATGTTATATGGATTTAAAAAATATATTTTATAATTATATTTATTAATTTTATTGTAGGTTTTAATATTTATTATAATATATTATCTATTCAATAATTATAATTATTAAATTTAATTTTTAAATTTATGTGACATTTAAAACAAGATTGACAGACTATGATTAGCTGAAGTGTAGGATTGAGAATACAGTGGGGCCTGAAGTGTGGGAGTGAGAGCCATTGTCCAAGTAGGGTGCAAAAAACCTCATCCTGATCTGTATGCTGAGTGAAATACAGTTTGACCCCTTAAACAATGCAATGTCACATTTCTCATTTAAAGCTCGTCACAATAGAGTTTATCATACGAATAATGTTATTTAAATTTAAAAATTTGATATAATTTGTTGATATAATAATATTATTTAATAGGAATCAGTAATACTACACTAATCAAATTAAGAGGTCAAATGACATGACAGTTGACTTTGACTCTTTTTTTTCGTGTCATGTCATTTGCACTCCAATAAAGACTCCAAATAATATGTTGTCATGTCATTTGAGCTCTTAATTTACTCTAAAAATTTGGTTTGTATAGCATTACTGAATAAGAATGATTAAATCAACACCAAGTTTCAATATTTGATGAGGCCTACAATCAATCTAAAAGTCACAGTAAATTAGATCAGCAAATTAGTTTATATTTTTAGGTCTCAATAGCATTGCTCTTATCATATTTATTCTTATTTACTTGAATTGGTTTACATTGTCCCCAAATACAAGCAATTGACATTTTTTTTTTCAAAAAAATGTTCAAAGTATAGTAAAATACACATTTTTAACCTCTATAATTAGTGCAATATGAAACCAAAAATAAAAATTGGAGAAGCAATGTAAAAATTTTAAGAAGGTAATGTGAAAGAACATAATTGAAGGGATTAAAGTATAATTTATCTAATTATCAAAGTCCCAAATTCAATTGGGTGAGACAATTCTTATGTATTATTGGACACACGTGATTTACGGGTGATTTTTTAATATATCTTCATATGTTGTTACTACAATGGCAAACACCTAAGAATAACGTATCTATATCAAAAGAGAAAACGTCCACGAGGGAGCGAAGAAAACCAAAAAGATGGCATAATAAAACTTCTTGGGAGGAATACATGAGAAATCACTCTTTGTTTTTAACGCATTCAAAGTTTGTAGGTATTATTATTTGGATTTAATTTATTAATCTTATTTTTTTAATTAATCACTTTTTTGTTATTGAATTGATAGCAAACTCCGCTATTGATTAAGACCTGTAATTCATTCAATGACTATGATATATTAGGACATCTCCAATTCTTAATCAAATTCTCACTCAAATTTAAATTTGAATAAAAATAGACTAAAAATAATCTCCAATCATTTACTCATATATATACCAAATGGTGGAAAATTTAAAGTTTTACTCAAATTAAGAGAGAGTCAACTCTTCATGGTAAGATTTCACACTTTCAAAAGATTCAATTGTCATATCCCTGTAAATTTGAGTTTATCTATTAATGTATTATGTATCAAATCAAGTTTTTTTCTCATATGTTAACTCGAATTTAAGTACAAATTTGAAGAGGGCCTTTAGGTAAGCAAATTAGGTTCCAAAATTGATCGTTCAGACTAGTCTCATTTTATGGTGAATTTGAGTTCTAATACTAGGGTAACACTACAAACGACAACACTAACACTACAAACTACAATACTCTTTTTGGGAAAGTCTACAATATTGAAATTATTATTTTTTATATCGTATAGAAAGTTATAATTTATATGGTAAAATTACACTTTTGAAATGAGAAATTATAACTATTCAAGAAATGTCTTGATCGATCATAAAACTTCTTTTAATAGTTGTAATTTGACCTTGAAAGTTGTAATTTTTGGCATCGATCTCAACTATTCATGAGCGATTATGCCTTTAATAAATTGTAACTTAATCTTAAAAATTATAATTTTTTATATGGTAAATTACACTTTATCCCTTGAATTATTACCTTTATTTCATTTTATACCCTTAATTATAAAATTTCTCACATTATACCTTAAAATATTAATTTTTTATTTCATATCACTCTAATAGATAATAGCTGTCAATTTTTCGACAATAAATGAGCTTGTATTGTCAATAATCAATTGTCTATTGCACATGTGTAAGTTAAAAATTAAGAAAAATACTCATCCATGACTTTGTCTTTCTTAAATTTCAAATTTTCTTCCTCTAATCAACATTTTTTTTCCTCAACAACCATTTAATTGCAAAAGAGATAAAATAAAATGATACTAAGCACTTAGCAAGAAGTTCTTTAGGATTTTCCTCTTGACAGATTTTTAAGTTTATCGTTATCTATCGAAAAGATATAAAATAAATTTGATACTTTAGAGTATAATATGAAACATTTTATGGATAGGGGTATAAAATGAAATAAAAATAATAGTTCATAGGGTAAAATATAATTTATTCTTTTTTATACCTTAGCCTTTCCTCTTTTTTTTTTGGTATCTTATGAAAAATTATGATTTTTGTAGATTGAGTTGTAATTTTTTTGAGGTCAAATTCTATATAAAACTATTTAAATCTATCATAATATTTGACGATGGACATTTGAAAAAAATAAAACTAGTCAAGCGATATCCTTTTGGTTATAATTTTTTTCAGATCCATCCTAAATATTCAAAAATTATATTTTATTATATTATTTTTAAAAAAATAGCAATTTTATTAGGACATAATTTAATAACTTAATGATTATACCCATTAAATTGTTAGTAAGTTCTAACATTAAATTATCATTGGATCTCAATACTATCAGTCTAATTAAAATAATACATTAAATCTTTATATTATGCCTCTAAATTATATCTCAATAACATTATTGTTAAAAAAATAACACCACGGACTTATCCTTGAGAGTTGAAGTTATGTCAATCCAGTACAGGTAACACTCTTTTAAAAGCCGCGTACAGATGAATTAGTGAGTGTGTCTGTTAGCGGTTGGTGGTACGTCGCGCTACAAGTGGATTCCAACGCGTTTAGCCTCAAAATGCTTTTGTTTTTATGTTACCAAGTTTTTCTGAAACTTTATGGTTTATTCCCACATGTATGCATTATTCTTCTTTTAGAGACAAAGTCCGTGAGTCTGGCAAAATCCGCAACTTTTTCATGGTTTTATGTGTATTTTCGGAATCATACTTTTTCAGAATGTTCTTTGTCGTAAGACTCTCGGACTTGAGATTAGGATGTTAAAATATGATATGATTTATTAATATGATATAAAATTAGAAAGTTTTAATTTTTTTTAAATTACTTATTTAGTGAAAGAGTGGATATAAAATTAGAAGATTTTAGGTTTTAATTCGACACGACATGATTAATAAACAAATCAAATATGAGTGAAGTCAATCAGAAAAAATAAATGATGCGACTCATCTATATATTAGTTTATACACGATTCATATATGAGTGAAATATTTTTTGACATGAACTTGACTCGACACGATTGAAAAGCCTACCAAGGGTGGCCCAACATATTTGGGGACCCTAGGCAAAAATTTTAAATTAGCTCCTATTAATATTTTTATAATAATATAAATAATTGTCAACAATTAAATTATTTTTTTTTGTTTTTCTTTTTTGAGATTCAAAAATATTAATTGAATTTTTAAATTCAAGATTTATACATTAAAATTCAATTAACAAAAGTTGAATTCTCAACCAAATATAATTAAATTAATTTTCTATTGAAAGTAATGAGAAAGAGAATGAAAATTTAAACTAACTAACAAAAAAATTTTTTTAGAACAAACGTAAAAATTAAAATTTGTGTAAGTTAAATGGTATTGGAATATGTGAAATATGTTTTAAGATTACAAAAAACCAAATAAATGTTTTCACTGAGAAATTTTAGCAAGACAATAATGGTTATAATTAGTTTCAGATAATGAGATATTTCTACTCATTCTATAATATAGTCATTTTTATACGCTTTAAAAAATAATTAATTAAAAATATATCCTAAATTTGAAGTAATCTCAAATTTAATCTAAAAAAAATATAAATTTATAATTTATAACTATTAGTTGATAGACAATGAATTACACAATTTTTTTTTTTACAATAAGATAGAAAAATATTTTATTAGATGATAACACATATTTTTCATAT